ACACCAGCTGAGTTCAATATCAAAACAAGAGAAAGGTAAAAACCATCCCCTCACCCAAAGGAGAGTAGCTTCTACCTCATTGCATCACTTTAATGGGAGAAAAAGGGCCAAGAATTTGAACCTTGATTTCAGTATAAATAGAGCTTGCATATGATACACAGCAGTTGCTGGGATTCTTTCATAATTATTTATATACAGTTACAAGAAATCTATTTATCTGAGTTTTGGTATCTTTAGTTTAGTCTTGCAGTTTCTTGCCTAGCCATCAAGAGAAATTTAACAATGGCCCCTGGAACTTTTCTTTATCATACCAACTGCAGTGTTGATTTTGTATCTTGGCAGTGTTTTATCGTGCAAAATGTGCCTTAGATAGATTTATTTCTAAGCTCTTACACAATCTCAAGTAAAATCAGACCAACTGTTTTAAAGTTCATGACCTCTATAATTGCTACTGCTTTAAAAAATGAAAAAAGAAATACTAACCTTTATTAGTATTCAGTTATTTGCATTTTAACATTTTAGTGAAATATCCCTTGTATTGATTTTAGAAATGTTTATGCTTTTTAATTTGAACCTTTGAACCTTATATAATAATTGTACAAAATGCTGGTCTGTGACTGTAACAATAAAAATTGTAGCCTATGTTCCTTACAAATCATTAAAAGCTACATAGGGGATAAAACTTACCACCCAAAAGGAACAAACATGGAAACAAAATCCCAACTAAAAAAGATTCTTTTTAAGTAGTAACTTTGTTGAAAAACAGAACTTATATCTCATCAGGAGAGAAACCAGATTTTTATAGAAGCAGAAAAATAATGGAATCCTTTCATAAATTTAAGAGGAAAGGAGAATACATCCAGTTTACCTCATATTCTCATATACCTTAGAAGATTAAAGCAAATTTTTAAAAAAATAATCAGATATTTTTCTAGGGCCTTTTAAATAATGAAGCCCCAAATTGTTATTAATAGAAGTTGGGTGGCAATACAATAATGCAGTTACTGAAATAATAGGAAGGCTTAAAGTAATAAGCACACCTAAATCTACTTGAGATGACTAAATCTGCTTTGCAAAATTGGTGGAAATGGAGAAAGACCTTAAACTTTTGGGGGAAAATTGGGGAACAAATTCCTGAAATAAAATGTGACTGTTTGTGTTACTTACATTTATAATCAACACATTCTTGTAAAATGAGAATGTGCACCAGTAATTTCAAAAGAACAGTATTAGCTTCCATGCAAAATTAATGGATATTCCATTGAATAAGTTCAATGTATTTAAGCATAACCTTTAAAACACTATTCATTTGAACACGAAATATTTTTCAGAGATTCATAGGATCATTGAGTTGGAAGGGGCCATTTAGGCTATTAAGTTGAACCTCCTGCTCATTGCAGGAACCCAAATTAAAACATCCCAGAGATATGATTGATTAGGTGTTATTTCAATACATCCATCCAATGAAGAGGAGGCCACTACCTCTCTGGATTAATGGTTTAAATAAATTAACTTTTTATAATATGCTGTTAAACATTTATTAATGTGACTAAACACTGGGATGTAGGTCTTTTGAATTGAGTTTTTACAAATAGTCATGTAATCATTGTAAGTTGTATTACTCTGTTTTCAAACTGTCTTTAGAGTTCTATAGAAACACCTATTCTAATTATGTGGTCTGAAAACTGTACTTATGTAATACTCAAGTTCTTTATTCTCTTGTGGGAGTAAATCCCTTGAATTCACAGGGACTTACTTATGTGCTCTGAAAGTATACCATAATTCTTGTATAATAGAACTATAAATGGAACATAGAAATAAACTGGAATGAATATCACTGGTCTCCTGCTCAGCTATCCTTTCACTGAATGGAATGGCTTTTAAAATACTGTTGTTTGGAAAGCAAAAATTATAATAAGAGTTTCAAATTTTTATCAGAATTATTTGCACTTCACTGTTTAGGTCCCTATGTCTAAACATAGGCATTCAGAGGGATTCAGTTTACTTATATAAAAGATCAACTTTGTTGCTGTATCATATTTGTATTCTGGATATATTTTTTCTTACTGTAGGGGAATGCCATTTTTGTTTTTGAAAGGATGTACATTTGCAAGATCGCAGTGTGTCAGTGGTAACTGAGCTGGTAAGCTGACAGGCATATGGTATTGTGTTAAATAAATATCCCAAGTTCAGTGTTTTAAGCTTGAATCCTGAGTGTGTATGAATATCTACATATACCTTCTAGATCATGAGATGCAGGCAACAGTATGTTGGCTTGCGAGGTAGCCTCTAGATTGAACACATTAGGGAGACAAATGGATTTTAATTGTACTTATGGGATTTGGCTAAAATGTACCCAAAATTATCAGTATTATCCTTACTATTAGCAGGAAATGCTGCATGTGGCACAGAAATGAATAATCTGGTAGCCTAGTCTACACCTTCGCTAAATTACTAAAAAGCATTATGTGAAAGCATAATGAGCAGCAGAGATATCTATGGGCCTATCCAGTGATGACTACAACATATGGAAGATTGTGACTTGGATTGTAGGGAGAGTTAATGGTAAAGAATGTGATTTAATGAATGAAATAAAAAATTAATATGTTATAGGTCTATGAATTAAGAGAAAGTGGAAGGATATAGGGGTGATGAGGTTCTGAATGAGATTCATACCATTTCTTGCTAGTGACAAGAGTGGATTTTGGGAGGAAATGGACATTGGGGGGGGGGGAAAAGAAGGAAGCTAAAGTAGAATGACTGCAGGAAGATAAAATAAGAGTCCTGCATAAAAAAATATTACAATACAAATTAGTCTATCAACCTCAAGAATGGAAAGTAAGGAAAGAGGATGTGAAAGCTGCTTGGGAAAGGATAAAAAGAACTATGTCATAGAGTACTTCAGAAGTGTGTGGAGTTAAACTAATGGGAACTATGGAAAAAGGATGCTTGGTGGAATGAAGTGAAACCAGACAAGAAAAATTGCATGCACGTGGTGCAAAAAATTAGTATAAGAGAAAGATTGTATAGTGTGTATAAAAAAAGATTAAATAAAGCAAAGAACTGTTGATATTAAAACAGTCAAAGAAAGCGCAGATTGATTTTGATTGAATAATAAACTGTTCTGAAAGTGAGTGAAGAGGAGCCTCTAGCAGAGTGAATAGAAATAAATAGTGATTATATGATTTGGGATAAACCCAAAAGAAGGGAATGCTGGAAGGAGTATTTTAGATATGTGTATGGGAATGATAGCGATGTGCCAAAAAATGGAATTGAAACAAATGTTATACATTTTGGAGCCCAAGAAAAAATGATGAAAAGGAAGTTACAAATGCATTGAGAACATTGACAAATAATGAGACTGCAGATATGAATGATGTTACTGGAGGAATATTAAAATATAGATATTGTTTGTGTCCAATGTGTGGGAGGAGTGTATTTGGCCTGATAATTGGAGTAATGTCATTATTGTTCCTCTGTAGAAAAGGAGGATAATTTTGTTAGGTGTGCCTAGGGAGGCATTTGGCATTATTCTGATCAAAAGGTTACAAGACCTGATAGTGAGAAAAATTTGAGGAGTGCAATATGGCTTTATGCCAGGTAGACCAGATTTTTGTTGTTCAGAAGCTCACTGAGGACTATACCATATTTACTTACATACTTACTTACTTACAAGGCTTATATGCCATTCCAATCATGAATGGCACTGTGAGATTATACTTTTTTTAATTCAGAGAAAGCATATGATTCTGTGAACAGGCTTTAATTATGAAATATTTTAAGGAAACATTAAAGTTACCTGCTGGATGAGAAGAAGGCTATAGATGTAGTAAAACATTCATGAATGTGTGATGCCCCTTGGTTTAATATATTTATGGATAGATGTTTAAGGAATGCTTGTCTTGACATTAGAGATGCGGTGGATAGGGAGGATGAAGGTATCTGTATTTTTTGTATGCAGATGCAGCTGCTTTGCTGGCTGATATACAATGAATATTACATGATACAATGCAGTGAGTAGTATGGATCTGAAAATTAATGTACAAAAGACCAAGCTACTTGCATTTGACAGGAAAAATGGAATGAATGATGGAGATGACAGTTGGGTATGTAAGAAGATGTATAGAAGTAAGTGGTATTAAGTTGCAATGGATTACTGAAGTGTGTGTGATTAAAAAAAAGACATAAAGTCAAGAATGAATGCTGCTGAATGTACATGGATGGAATACAAAAGTGAATGAGCATAATACAAAAGAAGTACTTTTGAGTTGGTATGGTTTAGAGAGAATGAACAAAGATTGAACCCCAAAACAAATATGTGAAGGAGGAGTGAATGGATCAAGAATTTCTTTGATTGTGGCTGAATGGAGTGGATGAGATCTTCAAAACAGGAGAGAAGTTTAAAAAACAAAAGCAGTGTATGAAGTGGTGGAAGGATGTGGTGGAAGCAAGAAAACTGTTAAAATTAGAAAGGTATGGAGAGAAAAATAAAATGCATATTGTCCAAGACATCCCAATTACCAGGATATTATACAATCAAAATATTTTTCTATCTCTGAGTTGAAATGGTGGACATGAAGTATATTCCCAAATGCTGAAGGTACTGCCATAGAAGCTTGAAAATCAAAGATGAAGCATACACAGGTATCAAGACTGCAACTTTCTGAAAACAGGACAGTTTACATTTAATAGTCAGATGTAAGGAACCTAAGATTTATGCATTCTGTAGGCCAGCCCTTTAGAGCTGAAGGGACCAAACCAAAACTACAGTGAAATATGCTGTAGAACAAATGGAGTCAACCTTGAACTGGGTGTAGGGGACTTCCACTGGCACCTAGAAAGGTTGGTTCTGTGATTGAGTTTTTGCAGAATTTCTTTAATCGTTCATATTGTACATAATTCCTATAATTTGCTGTCAGTCTTTAATTTGAAAGTTAATTCATGCTCAACTGTATTTTTTTGTGTTTAAATAAGAGTAATGTGGGGATATTTTATTATAGGGTGGAATGATTAATTGGAATCGTTTCTTTCCTCCTTTACGTCACCGACGTAATGCAAATTATTTGGATAATCATCCAACTGAGCACGAGATACGGCCTCCAGCTGAAGTTTCTGAAGAACAGGTAACATCTGCTTTTTATGAGAAAAAAACACAGTATCCTAGGCATCTCATGATTCTGCTAAGCTTAAGCACATCAACAGCTTTCCATGCTCACCACTCAGTACTGTAATATATGACTAGCAGCATATGCTTTATTCATATGACATCCCTTTGCTAAATATAAGGAAGCAATCATGCACATTATACACTGTGAATTGTTCCAGTGTGGTGTCTAGCACCCACAAGAAGAATAAGGATACACTACCTGGACTGCCAGATAGTGCATCATCAACTTGTGCATTATATATTCAGATGCTAGAATAGTATCTTCTTCAAATGCTCCATCTGCCTTGTAAATTCAGAAATAGGAGTGTTCTGGCAGAATTTTTTTCAAAGTTTAACTGCTTTTGAGACCTTGTGTTGAAAGCAAATTAATTGTGCATTTAATAGACTGAGAATTCTGGAAGGCATCACATAGAAATAATCTCCCTACTATTCAGTTGTAAAGAAAAGGATGGCAACTATTTTGAATGGCAACTTCAAAATATGTGAGGTATCTAAGGGCTTTGTTTAAGCTTGTTCATTTGTTTCTTTCATTATGATTATACACAGTCTACCAAAGCACATGCGTTACACTGTAAGAGACCCAAAGCAGACAGGAAAGTGGGGGAAGGAAAGAGAAAAATAAGCAAGCTATGTTTCCATCTCTTTCGTAAAGTTATATAATGAAGTTCTGCATTGAAACTTGAAAAGAAGGCTCTCTGGGGAGAGGGATAGCTATCACTTGGCTTTAGCTGGGGTGCTGGAATGAGCCTCGTTGGTTTGATTCTCAGGGTTCAGGCAGTTAGAGCCCCCTGGAGCACGGACTTCTTGAACATGAAGTAGCAAATTGGCAGTTAGTCCCAGATGAACAGATTCAGGGGGCTTCCCTGTCTCACTTGTCCCTCTGATTCATTATTGTAATTGGAGAAAATGAACCTGAGGATAGTGACAAATACTGATCATTCTCTGTTCTTCAAAAAAGACTCATCTTGCTTTTCTGGAAATGTTGAATCATTTAGAAATGCATTTTCTGTTTGAGAATTATCTATTCCACATCGCAAAATGACAAAATAGAAAGAAAAAGGAGTTAATTGTTTCAACAGTAACCAAATAATAATCCTTCTTATAAGAATTGGAACTATGTATGTTAAAAAGGGGTTTAGAAGACATTAAAGGCCTAATAAAATCTCTTTAGCAAAAATGTGAAATAAACTCTTATGCGTATTGTTAAATATAAAAACATCTTGTAGAAGGTGAATTTGAGTCGAGTAATCACAGATGTGGCTGTTCTTGAACTTTTATTTGTGAGCCACCTAGAGTCACTTATATAGTGAGATGGGCAGCATATAAATTTGATTTATAAATAAATAAAAATAAACTTTCAGGTTAAAGAATTTCCAATAACCTTCAGAGAACATGGCATTATCTTATTTTTTAAAAAAAGGTTCAGCAGTATCAGGTATATTTTTCAGCAAGCCAGTTGCAAGCTTTTCATATTGCTGCCTTTATTTCCCAGGGTGTCTTCCACAAAGCATTCTAGAAAACAAAGCTGGTGGTTGGTGTGTATGGCTGTAGCAGCTCATAGACCTACTGCTGAACTGGGTCTGGTTTTTTCCCCCATTTTCCCACTTCGGATTTGCCTGGTAAGGGAAAGCTGAGCAGGGCAAACGAGAGTAATAGAGAGATTTCAGTATTCATCCCACTGTTGGTGGGATGTATGTTGTTATAAATAGGTTGTTTGGTTAAGATGTTGGGCAGTATCCAGCAACAATGAACTATTGGGGGGGATGTTTCCCCTCTTTCCTCTAAGAGGTCAAGATGTCTTCCATGAAAATCTTCTTTACCCCAACAGGGTAAGATAGGCTGGGCTGAAAGGGAATGAGTAGCCCAGTCACTCAGTGAGTTTCCATGGCTAAGAGTGGACTTGGATCTGGATCTTCCCAGTCCTAATGAAACAGCTTAATGCTACACCACACTGACTCTCTTGGGATCTTCTGTTTCTACAATGTGGAATAGGCTGACCAGCAGGCTGCTCAGTAGAGCCCCTGCCCAGCCTGCCCACTTATTTCTTGGTTGAATAGCATGGATGGCTGCCCCATGCAATTAACTGTGAGGTTCTGAGAGCAGACTGTGTTAGTATGAGTCCGTATGTCTTTTTTCCTTGCATTTTCATTTCCTCTCTTTCTGCACATGCTGGCAATTATACAGACACTTTCAATAATCATTGGTTTACATATATCCAAAATAAAGTATCCAGGATTCTTAAGACAAACTAAAAAATTGTACAATTGCCTACAGCTGAAAACTTGCCCTGTTTATGACACTGATATCATATGATAGATGTCATGGGCTAAGCTTGGAAATTTTAAAGGGATTTTCCCAGGTTTCAGGATTTTTTAACAGTTGTGTTCTCAGAGCAAATTCAGATGTTATCTGTAGAAGTGACTCCCTGCACTCATAAATATTATACCTGGGGAAATATTTATTCATATCTCCATGTGAAAACCTGATTGTCACTCCTTGCCACATCTTGGTAAAGACTTGAAAACTTTGACTTGAATTTTCACATTATGCTGATAGTCTAATCAGCATTGCAGTGTTACCATACTGGCAGCATTGAGAAGTCTCAGACTACATTGTCTCTCCTTGCCAACACCAACCTCTAGAAATAGGGTCATTATATGCTTGTAAATGAGTTGCATTTGGGTCCCCCCCATAAGGCATAAAGCTTTTCTATTACTCTAAGCAAAAAGGAAGATTACTACTTCTATAGTACGTAGATAACAACTATTAAGCCTAGTTTCTTAACATGAGAAGTGGTGCTCATGGAGTAGATGGTACTGTCAGCAGAGCAGTTTGGGTAATAAAATGGAGGTGGAGTCTCATGAGATACCTCTTCTACCTAACAAATTAAACATTTGGACGAACTTTAGTATATTGTCAGTACAAGAAAATGTTTTTTACCAGACTCCTATGTTATAGCTATATCTACCTATTCACAGTCAGTTCTTCAAAGCATGCTGCTATGTTGGTTGTTTGGTATGCATTTTCATACTTATCCCCTCTTTCTTGTTTCTCCATAGGTTGCACGGCTCATGGAAATGGGATTTTCTCGTGTAGATGCTTTGGAGGCTTTGAGAGCTTCTAATAATGACCTTAATGTAGCCACCAACTTTCTGCTTCAGCACTAATGAATTGAACACCTGCAGTGAAGAACTTAAATTGACACACGTGATGTGCTTTCCAGAGGGCTGTAAACAACTGCAGGGTAGACACTTGAATATTTAAATCAAGAAAAAGAAGCTGTCTCTTCACATGCAATATATTACTGCAGAAAAGATGGCTGGCATTGGAAATATCTTTCCCTTGAATGGAGTATACTAGCCAGGTTGCACTGGAAAAGTGTTTTCAATCATAAACATATGTTATATATCAATATTTATTTTGCAAAATCGGATTTGTGTGTTTCCCCCACCCCCAAAATCAGCATTAAATGTTTGATCATTTCCAGTAACAAGGAAATAGGAAAGCTTTTCCTTAAAACAACTCCTTTTGCAAAAAAAAAAAAAACACCCAGGTCTTTTGTTTCATTTTCATTTTCTTATTTTTTTAAATACTACATTTCATTCATCTCCTTTATCAAAGCTTTATAAAAATGTGCAAAATTCCTTGGCCGTGTAATTTCAATAAAGGGAGAAAGGACTGAAATCTTGTATTCAGAGAGTTCTATTCATATTTAATTTTTTTAATTGCAAAGCATGGCTTCTGGATTTTTTTCCAACCTCTTTGCCAGCAGTGTTTATGTGTGCCCTGCAGAGCACAAGGAAGGCTGCATTGGCTCTCCACTGGGTCATGTGACCAGGAGGAAGAAGAGAGAAGAGCTTAGCAAGGAGCAGACGGCAACTTTCCAGGCTGCTACCCAACTCCCCCTCTTACAAGATGCATCAGGACAGTTTCCCATGCCATATCCAACCAAAGTTTGAACTCAGTCTATCTTTGGTCAGCCTCCCCATGGCAAAATGTGGTCTTGTTCCATTCAGCTTTCTCACTGACAAGTCAACAGGCAGATGGACAGAGAGAGTCCTGAGCTCCTTTACATAATTTCTTTCCAACATAGGAAAGAATAAAAAAGGAATGGAGGATGAAGATAGATAAATAAAAAAGGAAGAAGAGACGGCCGGAAAAATACAGTTTTAGAAGGAAGGAAAAGAAAGGGATTGCCATAGAATAGAAAGATCTGAACCCCATTCATATGAAGAAATGTTGAAGACTTTAGGAATGTTTAGCTGAGGGGAGATGTGATAGCACTACAAATCCATGAAACAATGCCACTGCATTCTAGACCAGTTGCAGTTCTTGAGTAGTCTTTAAGGAGAGCTGTATATAAAACATGTTGCAGAAAACCAACTGGGTGGTAATGAGGGCATGAGTTAATGTAGCTCAGTCCTCCTGCATCAGGTAAGGTTACAATTGGCACACCAGTTGGCAGAGAGCTTTCTCACCAGGACTTCCACCTGTTCAAGCAGGAGTCATGAGTCCAGAAGGACCCACAAATTGTGAACCTGTCTTTCCTGGATAGTGCCTGCCCATCCAGAGGTAACACTGGTGTTCTCAAAGAACTACCTATTCAGATCAGGCACTCAGGGTGTTGACAGCATTTCCCCCACAGCCTGGGGTGGCAATATAAAGTTGGTTAATGTTAGTGTAGTGATGATACTGTTGCACCCCAAACCTTTGGATGACTTCTCCCAGTAGTTTCATATAAATGTTACAGAGTAGAAGAGCGAGGACCAACCCCTGTAGCACCCCACATTGTAGAGGCTACCAGGATTCCCCCCTCCCACTACAGACTGAAACTGCCCATTGAGGAAGGAATAGTTTATGTTATAACACAATATTGGAAACTCTTTATTCCATTTATTATATTTTCAGGGTAGCTTCTTAATCAGTTCCCCTGAATGGAAAGATATTTCTTTTAAATAAACTCATATTTACATGTCACAGTTAAAACCAGAACATAAAAGGTCTTTCTATAGAATGAGAACTCTGAAAACAGCTAACACAAAGAGTCTCTTCATACCCATTTTTCAGATAATCGTTTCTCTTTTGTGTTTTATCAGATGTTCTGGTTGATAGAACCTTTATATCGTTCAGATCTTGCCTTGATAACCTTTCAAATTCAAAGCCTACTACACAGTCTCTCCTAGGGTTATGATGTGTAATTTCAGAATCATGCTTTATGGCATGGTTTCACAAAGTAATCTTTATAGCCAAAGTCACATAGCTGAGAAAATGAGAAAAAAAGAGTGAATTTTATGAAAACACCAAGAAACTCAGTCACAGAAAAAGATACAACTTTTTTAAAATTAAGGGTCAGCTATGAATAAATGTCTTTGGGACACCTCCCAACCTTCCAGTTACGTCCTTAGAGGGCATGACTTTAAATGCTTCTGGGTCCTCTGTTTACTTCCATAGCAGGAGTTTCGGGGAACTTTCACTGTAGGTTAGGAAAAAGGCTCATAAAGCTGTTGGTGTTTTTTGTCCTTTCTTCTCTTTGTTCATTCTATTTTTATAAACTTTATATGTTGCCAGATTTTGTTTGGATTCTTTATTGGTGCCTCTGCTGTTTATCCTTTGGGACAACCCTCTTGCCTCATCTACACCGTTTCCTACAGTAATGGCTCTTGTAACAGTTCACTGCTTGAGAATAGTCATAGTTTGTATCTTCACTGCTTGAGACATGACTGTTGAGATCTTCAATTGTTGCTGTTACTGAGATCACTGCATTTAGTTTTTTTCTGATTTTTGCTTTTTTTTTTTTTTTAATTCCTTGACAGTCTCATACAAGCCATTTGCAGCACTGGTGCCGGATGCATAGAAAGTTTATTCTAGTTATAGTTTTAGATGTTCTTGGAGTTGGCTTTGCTTTGGTGGCATTTCTGTTAGAAATGATGTGATCTGGCAGATCTCTGATTATGTCAGCTGTACTGATTGGCACTAAAAGGATCTGGGAAGTATCTAGAAACATCTTTTGTTAAAAAGAATCTCAAAATTGGACCAAACTAAGGAATGTTATTTGCAGTAATCAAAACACCATTTTTCATGATGATGATTTTTTTTGCAAGAGGTATAGGACTGAAAAGCAAATGGAAAGTAATAGAGGAAAATGGAAAATTCATCACTTAAAAATGGTTGCTCTCTGAAACGTGCCCATCTTCTAGTAATTTATCTAGATATCATCTGTGTGTTTGCAAAAATAATATCCTCAAGGTTCTTTCATATGTACCTAATATACAGTAATACCTCGGTTCATGGACGCTTCTGTTCATGAACAATTCGGTTCATGAACAGCAGCGCTCGTAAATTTTTGCTTCCATTTGCAAACTCCGCATTGGGTGACGAACACGACCGGCGGCCATCTTCCCTTCTCTTGACACGTGGTCGTGGCTTCCTCTAGGCGAGATCGCAGTCTCAGACAGACACTTGCTGTGAAGCTTTTTGGTGTGCTTTTTAG